TCTTGGTTCTAAAGGCAATGGCTGATTCATAGATCAAAGAAAACATTTATATATATATATATCGCTGACACTTTGTGACTTTGTGTCAAATTATGATCTACAATCCATTCACGACCAAACTCCCAGATCAATAGACCTTCAAACTGCTCACTCCAGATGACTCTGTGCTGCCCCGCCATAGCGCGCATGAAGATTCCACCCGACATCTGCGAATTGAGTCAACCAATGTGGAAATGTGAGCGCTTCTTTAAGTGGGAAGACTGGTCTTCTTCCAATTTCTGCTAATTGGCCAGTCTTCCAGACTTACACTTGGTCAACGAAAGACCTAAACACTCCTGAACTGCCCGACTCTGCGCGTGCCCACAGGTACAGTCGAGCACCTTGACGCCAGGTGGACGTGCTTCTGGCTCCTCCCTGACAGCCACGCATGATCTTGAAAGGAAGCGAGCCTTCACTTTGAGATTTCATTAAATAGATCGAGTCGCTATTCTACAGCCAGTTGGTCTGAAGCACATGTTCTGCAGAGCTACTACTGAGCTGCCGGCTGCCAGCCCCGTTGGTGGTCCTCCCACTCAAGCCTCTGGAAGGCCTCTGACGCTCGCAAACTCCACACAAATCAGATCAGGTGCTCAAGAGTGCGTCTGTTTGCACCAAGGTCCAGTAGATCAAAGAAAGGATGTCCAAGTTTTGGAGCCAACTCTCACAATCGAAAACTCATCTCCAGGACTCCAGCTAACCCAACGGCTACATGGACCGGACTACAGCTACATCAGTGCCTCTGGCCGGCCATCGAACCAGTTATCTCGGCCATCTTGCCAATCGGCCTCCTTGGCTTGACGTGGGAAAACAACACAAGCGATCCACCTGCGACCGGTGGGTTTGCGAGGAGCAAGGACGCTACTAGGGGCTCCTGGCCCTACTACTAGGAGCAAGTAGCTACTAGGAACAAGAAGCTATTGGGGGCTCCATCGCTACTAGGAGCAAGGACGCTACTCCTCTTCTCACCATCAAAAGGGTTTGCATGGGCGAAGATGTCAGCAAATGCTCTCTTGCACTACCCACCTATGCGTCAAAGAATCTGGCAAACACTACAATTGCAAAAGCTAGTTGGCACTGAATAGACGTCGTAAAGATGGCCATAAAGCACTGGCCCAAAGCATTCACCAAGCGGGCTAAAGGATGTTAAAAGCACTGAACAAGAACGGATCAATATGCTTTCAGGTCTTCACACGAGCCCCGCAAGCAGCCAAACAAAGCCAACATTTGATGTCGTTGGTTGAGGCCTTTGGTGGTCACACCCTACGAACTGCACAGCAAGCCCCACAACCATACGAACCAAGCACTCGGGACTTGATGGCAGATAAGTTGAACCCGGGGCGTCTAAAGCAGCACCCTCTCAGCTTGGGGTGAGCACAATCAGCACATCTGTCTTCCCAGAAAGTCAATTTGGATTGGATATATATATATAGTATATCTGTCACATATAGTTATAGGAACGTTGAACTACACTTTGGACTCTTCATTCAGCAAGCCACTTCCAGCAAATGAAAACAAATGCAGCACACAAAGGCCCAGCTGTGGTTAAGATGGAACTGTCTACCCCTGCCTCGAGGCTTCTCTTCATCAAAAACAGTTACAGTATATCTTTCAGCAGCGGTTTGAATTCGACTCAGTACAGGACCCATGCATGTGCGAAGGTTAGATTGAATTTCGTTTGAAAAACATGGACATAAGGCTAGGTCTAGGTCCCCAAATGCTCTAGAACATTTCAGGCACGTTAAGTCCTGGGTTGCTAGATCAACCCAAAAAACGAGCTCGAATCGGATTCGTCGCTGTTCGTGCAGTAGGCAGATACAAACATGCATGCCGGCAACCCTGGTGAATCTTTTCCATCCATCGACCATCGACCGTCAACCGCCAAGCGGACGTGTTGGAACTTTCTTTAGGAAGCAATCTTCAGTCATTGAAGATGACGGGCAGGCGTGTCTGTACTCTACAGGACTATAGGATCTAAGGACTTCAATGTGATGCTGATTCTCACACCACCATACGCGTCTCGGCCTGTAGCCCTGTCGCAAAGCAGGATCATGTTTGAGAAGGACAAAGGGGCCATTTGAAGGCTTATTTCGGCATCTTTGCAGCTAACCATGGCAGGTTATGATGCAATGAAATCCCGTTCAGTCCTTGTTTGGAATCTTGGGTCGGAATTTCATGTGTCTGACATGGCTATAATCTAAGCAAATGCACGGACTACCCAAATATCTGATGTGGTCCTATATGTTGACACGCAGCACTCAAGTTTGGCCAAGACTCCTGCCAAGACTCCTGCCCATAGCCACCAGAGTTCTGCTGTGCTTCCCATTTGCGCTTTCGAGGCCCATCATTGTTGGCCTGACCAAATTCCTCAGACTGTGGCTTTCAATTACAGGGCATTGGCGGGGGTTTGGCGGCATAGAGGCTTCAGCATCACAATGTGTTCACTCTGTACGTTTAAAGAGGTTGTAACAACTTTGATGTAAAGAACAATGCAAGCGGTTTTCTGTTCTTCTGACAAATCCCCTTTCAAGCAACACAAACCCGACTTTCGTGCAGAGACACCCTAAACCCTGAGCAGTTGATAGTCCCAGTTCGCCTGGGGCGGTCGTCTGTAGGTAGATTTATTTGGTTCGGGGAAAGGGCAGCAAAGGACTAGCTGCTAGCTGGCTATGGCCATACCAATCGACCGAGCTGTCTGAACAGCAGAATGCGTTGTGGAGGCCGGCAGCCGATCCACAAGAGCCACACTGTCAAGAAAGAAAAGAAAGCAAGGAAATAAAAAACTGTTCTAAAGGTCTAAAGAAGAAGAACAAAAAACAAAACGCAAACAAAAATACAAGAAGAAAAGTAAATCGATGTAAATCGCACAAAACACATCACAAAGCTTGTCCCGTTCGTCACGAAGTCGAGGACAGGACATCACGCTGGTATTTGAAGTGGGGCAAATGAACCTGCAACGCAGGAACAGGTTAAAGTGTGGGCAAAGTCAGCTATCTACCTCATGCATTTCTCAAACAATAGCCATCATGAGTGTTAGATCAGAACAACTCGGTTCCGAGGCTGCTTCTCATTCAATAAGCATTATGGAACTGGCGAAGTTGCGTTGAAGTGTGACCAGAATGTGTTCCACCCCTTATGTTTACTGCCAAGGCAGTAGCAGCAGCACAACATCTCCTTTTCAGCGATGGAACGCTCTGGTCTATGCAAGTTGTTCAGTACTTGGCAGCGCCTCTAAGTCTGTATTCTGTGCAGCAAAACTAAGGTCCGGGGTCGCAAATGAGCGAGACCAAGCCAGGAGCTTTAGGACGAAAAGTTTTGGCAAAGCAAGTAATGTGTGGTCTTTCCTTCTTGATCTTTGCAGCAAAACGTCCTGTTTCTATGTATGTGGCATGAAAAAGCATAAATGGTTCTACCCACTGCGCTGCGAACATCTCGACGCTCTTCCGGATGACTCTACGGAAGGTCAATCCCAGCTCTGGCTCTGCAGGAAGCCTCTTAAACATTCACAACTTGACCGACTGAAAAGCGGTGTCGATGGCGGGTTGTTCAAGGGGTAGAGGGGTAGTTTCTGAGAGTAAATTTTAAGCATGTCTGCTGCATGTTTTGTCAACTGTGGAAATTCACATCATGCAGGTTCCTCAAACAAATGAAGCGCCACTAACTTTTCCCGAAGCTATGGATTGGTGGGACATGTTCATACTGGAAGCTGCAGGAACGTGGGCCCCAACCTAACTCTGACCCTGGGAGGGTTTTGTGATCAAACGGTCCATTTCTTGAGGCTTCAAGTTGTATGCAACTGCGTCCTAAAAGAGCTTGTCAGAGTCTCTAACGAAGGCATTTCAGACCCGCAACTGCCGAAGAGCATTTCAGAACCAAAGATGAAAGCAAAAGTTCATCAAAGTCATAGAAATCCTGCAAAAAACTTCCATCTGAGTATCGTCCGCTTGCGACTTCGGCGAGTTGTGTGAAACCGAACGGATCTTGTCCCACCTTGTGGCCTCACTTTTCAAAAAGCCACTGGTCGTGCTGCCTTCCCCAACTGATTGAACACAATGCTTTGGTATATGTATGTACGTACTTGAAGTATGTAGAGTATGTCTGTGTATGATTTTTGAATATTGTATGTGTGTCTCTGTGTGTGTTTCCCCCAACAAAAGTTAAAGTCAAAGCTGTCAACTGAGGGATCCCCAACCACCACTTCGATGACTTTCATGGTCGTTGGGTGCCGAAAACTTCTTGAATTGGCCGAACAGGCAATGAAGCCGTCTTCGCTGCACGGAGGCTGTACCTGGCGTGCACGACTGAGCGCACTGAATCCAATCATATTCAGGGTCAGTAGGACTTCCCAGAAAGCAGCAATCATCAATCCGCTACGCGAAGGGCAACACAGCTCCATTGCTGCCAAGATACAACAGACAAAAATTGCAAGAGCGCTGAGCCTATCCACATCTTATTCGGAACCTTGGCTCAGGCGTGGCAGTATGCAGAATGTGCGCGCGTTTCTGAAGGAACTCTTCTCCTGCACTTCTAAGGACCTGAATTCAAAAGCCACCCTCAGGCGTTAGCCAAAGTTATACTGGTGTTCCTGCCTTTCTAGTGCAATCTCAGGTTTGGCCTTACAATGCAAGTGTTGGGATCCCGGATCATGTGTCAATGAACATGTGGCTGTTGTGCAACAAAACAGAACAAACACCCTGTGGAACTGCAACCTAGGAGCTGCTAGGGCAGTCAAAGCCGCTTCTTGAAGATCGATTACCGCGACCGTCTGTCGCTCTGTCTGTGACTAAGGAAACACAGAGACGACGGGGCACCCCTGCACTTCCCCAGGTGCGTTGTACACAAGACCTTATGAGTAAGACACGAGCAGGTGCAGCAGCCGAAGTTTGGAACTGTTTCTCACTCTAGAAGTGGAAACGGCGCGTCAGGAATGTGCCAGTAGGATCCAGTAGGTATCATTATCATCTTCTCTTTTTTCGTCTGAGGGTGGGAGTATCTTTTCAAAGACGCTCAAAGATCTCGTGCACATCTTAGGAAGAAGTCACTCGGCCGCGGATTGGGTCGAGGAGGCTCAGAAACTTCCCGGGCGAGGGCCCTCATGCAAGTTGATGCGCAGGTCAACGGGTTTGGATCCTATCGCGGGAAACATCTGTGAACAACGCTAGCCTCTACGACCTTGAAGCGGGCGTCGTGAATCTGTGAGACCGAAGTGTGTCCGGCAGTGTCCGGTGACCCAAACTTTAGCCTTATGAGACTTTGGCCTTGGCCTTATCATCGGCTGTTGCACATCCAATTTCAAAACAGTCCGTAAGCAGTAAGCAATTGAAGAGTCGCAATCCTGTGAAAAGTGATCTGCCTTGGCTCAACATGGCTCAACACCATCCACTCACTTTAGGGGAAAATCTTTGACCAGTGTAGAGTGTAGTAGCGCATCGAAATGTAATACAGTAAATTTCCCCGGTCGGGACAAGTTATGAAGAGAATTAGGAACTGTAGACTCTAGATGACAAGCACCTGATTTAAGAGGCACCAAGCATACAGTCCAATGTGAACTCTTTAAAGCATTGCTTCACTAAACAGTGAAGTTCCAAGCTACTTGAAAGACCCTTGAAGGTTTAATTTGGCCCGTTCTTTGTTCTTGCTATTTCTCCACAAAGAGCAAATAAGGCAGTCCTGCAGATCGCTGGAAGTCATTGTATTGTGTGTAGATGTCCTCCAACAAGGAAGAAATAAGGCACCTCAGCGACTCAGAGCTGTTGCCAATTGCCCGCTTAATCATCTAGAAGTGAGTGGAATACATAGTCTAAACGAGCATTTTAACCTTTCAGGCATATCACAACTCATCAGTCGAACGCAAGAATGTGAGAAATCTGTTTCACACATCGGTCCGATTTTTTGGAAATGTTCGCTACTAGGGGCTCCTGGCATCGCTACTAGGAGCAAGAACGCCACTAGGGGCTCCTGGCATCGCTACTAGGAGCAAGAACGCTACTAGGGGCTCCTGGCCATACTACTAGGAGCAAGAACGCTACTAGGGGCTCCTGGCATCGCTACTAGGAGCAAGAACCTAGGAACAAGAAGCTAGCTGGGAGCCCAACTTAGCTTCCTCGTAGGACGGATTGTCCGGGGCACTCACACAAAGCATCAAAGGATCTGCTGACTCCTGTTGATCGGCCGGTCTCAAAAGCCGGGTCGATCGAGCCAAACATATCATAAGTCCCCCTGATCACAAAGCATCTGGAACTGGCTTTTCGAGACCCTGAAATGCTCAAGTAATGTATATACATATATACATACATTACATTACAGTACATTGCATTGCATTGCATTGCATTGCATTACATTACATTACCTTACCTTACATTACATTACATTACATTACATTCATACATACATAAATACATATTATTCCATCGTGTTATGTTATAATTGTCTATCATATTAATAAGAACAAGATCTAAAAACAGTGAATTGTATGCAGTCGTAGTTGTACTGCTTGTGTTTGACGACAGGATGGTTGAATCTTCCCACACACAACTTTTTCGGCTTTGCACCGGATGGACTCATTCTTCAGCCCTGAGCAGCTTTGCATTTCGTCCAACCAGTGGCCCATCAAGCCCATCCCACGCCTTTTGCTCTGGGCCTTCAAGAAACTTGGAGCCACGGCCGCGCAAGCGCAGCTTCGCCTTGAACATTGAGAGCACAGTTTCTCAGCTCTAAGATGTCTCAACTAGAGGTTCGGACCTTTATGTTGGTTAGAACATGTTAGACCCTCCTTTCCTTCTCATCTGATTTCCGTCAGATTGTTCGCCAAGGAGCACCAGTGCCCTGAGCAATATCCTTCATATGTTGGCCTGCTGGTCCAAGGAGACGCCGGCAAACACGAAAGCGAGACTCTTCCTCAATCCCGATGATGAACCTGGGAGAACAGCAAAGAAAACGCCAAATTCACGCAACAAAGTGACACCTGTCAATGGTCCTTAATGTCATCAGACAAATCGAGCCAAGCTAAATTGCCTTCCTGATCCTGCTCGGCCACGTTTACTGCGACCCAGTTGCTGGCACTGGCACTTTGAAGCCGAGTGGTTACTCGACTTGCCCGCTGCCTTTCCCTTGCCTTGGTTCTTGGACAAGGTGTTCGTTCAGACAAAGCATGAAGAAGTATAAGAATTGATAAGAACAGCGGTTGCAAACTGCTGCAACCCAGGAAGGGTCAGGCTCAGTGTCCAAACCAAGCAGCCTTGTGGAAACCTTTCCACCATGGCATTGACACAGCACATTGAAACACTTCAAAAAAGAACCGAGGCCATGTTGCCCTTGCCCTTGCCTTTGCCCTTGGAGGTTCGCTCGGGTCGCTCATTCCAAGCACCCCAAGAGTCTGGCAAACTCGGAAGAAATGGAAGAACTCGGAAGAATTGTGATGCTTCAACTTCATCGCTCTCTACACGCTTGCCTCGCTTGCCTTGCTCTTGTACAAATCATCCAGTCAGATTGAAAGAAACAGGAAGTCCAAAAGCACCACTGGTTCTGAAGCTGATGTGCTCGGCCCTTGCCTCCTCCCCAGTTGGAGCTTCGGTGGCCCTGCAATCCATCAAGTACTAGTACCATGAGCAATTCTGTTCTGTTTCATGGTGATCATACTTCGGAACTATCCTTATCCCCATCACCTGTCTTTTCGGAGGTAAGACAGAACAATGCGGTCGGTACACTCTTCCAGCTCGAAAATGCCGTATAACAACCAGTAGGTGTCGCTCTTAGAAGTTTGATGAAAGTTGTGCTACCGCAACTGGAAAGCTGTGCACATGCGTAGAACAGAACTTCACCACATGTCTTTAAGCAACGATGACGGTCGGTGCTGGGACAAAGACAGAAAGGAAAGAGACACGATCACAAAGCCAGGGCAAGAACCAAGGCGCCACGAAGAGAAATGAGAAGATACCCAAGATCAAACGCGAAGACAAAAAGGGAGATAAAAAAATAATCAAGGAAGTGAAAGGCTTACTCAATGATGCCATGCTAAACCTCATGAAACCTTCAATTGGAAACAATTCGATACAGCTGCACATCCAATGGGCCTCCGTGTATGAAGGTTTCACCTGTTCCTCTCTCGGTCGCCATTGCATGGAACCCCAGGAACCATGCGCCTCCAGTCCAAGGCATGGAGAAAGGCGTGGTTTAAAAGCAAGCTAAAGAGTTTCTAACTACTACAGTAGCAGTTTCTTGTTACTAGCAGTTTCTTGCTACTAGCAGTTTCTTGCTACTAGTAGTATATAATGGCCTGAAACCTAATAGCGATGGCCTCCACCTAGTACCGACCAAAGGATCTGTGACGATTGGAGGGCCAATGCAGCCAGGGCACATGCTGACTGTAGGAAGTGCTGGCACCGTGGCCTTTTCCGGCACTCTTCCCGGACCGTTTCGGCCTCCAGCCTTGGGAGTCTGTCTCGCTTTGGACAAGTTCTGGGCAAGGCCACTGGTGCCACTGGTGTTTGGTCCACTCCGAGTGACTGGTTTTTTAGGGGGCATCTCAAAAAACAGATGCGTACTTATCAAAAGAAGTTTAGGGTGCAAAACTTCCGTGTCACGGACTTTCGTCAGCTCTACCTCTAGTTAACTTTAGTTCCAGTCAGCTCTCTAGCTCCAGGTAGCTCTAGCTCTAGTCAGCTTTAGTTCCAGTCAGCTCTAGTTTTAGTCGGCTCTAACTCCAGTTAGCTCTAGTTCTGGCTTGTTTTAGCTCCAGGTGGGTCTCGCTCTAGTTAGCTCTAGGTCCACTCTTCAACATGCATTTTGGAAGGAAGTCTCGTGCAAAATGCGTTTTTGAGAGATAGCGGACGCACGCAATGTTGTGTTTTTCCATACAGCTACAAAGGGTGGCTCCGAACCTGGCAAGTCAAGCTCTGCGGAACGACGGTTGCCGAACGGTCTCGCACCATGCTCGGATCATGCTCGAATCGTCCCTCCATTGTAGCTAGAGTTTTCACCTGCTTCTTGTGTACGTGCTGTTGATCGAGTTCCATTGCGTTTTGCAACTCCTGGATGGTTTCCGGACTGTAAATGTGACTGCAAGTCTTAAGTGTTGTTGGTGGATGAGTTGTCGCTCGAATTTCATTGTGTTTTGCAACTTCAGGATCGTTCCCGCAAAGTAAATGGCACTTTCATG